TTCTACTACATTAGGAATACAATTTTTATTCTAAATTCACTGGAAACAAGCTGTCAGATGAAATCCAATACATTTTAATGGTGTGAATGCAAAGTAAACAGGCTTTGGCTCCTAATAATTACACAGACTGAGACTCATGTCATTCAGTGCCACTTAAAACGCAATTCCAGAGCGATATTAAGGAGAAATTCCTCTCTAAGATCACTGCTCTTCAAAATACTGATCATGTTATACAGGTTGTGAACTTCAGTCATTATATGGCAACACCTATGATTTTATGTATCAAACAGGGGAGAGTACTGAACCAGGTCCCTCATTCGGAAGGACAGTGGTCTGAACTTGCCTAAAGCAGGATTCTGGGCATGGTTTTACTATCGCTGCAGCAGCCTGAATCCACAGTCATTTTGATGTGGTGGTGGCTGCTGTCTCACCTGAGCTAGCTGAGCCTCCACCCTCAACGGGACACGTGAAAACCAAAAACTTGCTCTCCGGTGACTTGACAGGTTTTTTTCAGTCCTTTCAAGCCTTCTTGCTCCTAGTCACAACTTCAAGCCCTATCTGAAGATGTACCAACACCCCTGAAGACAGCTCTCCCTTGGAAATGCCCCTCAAATCAGCTCTTCCCCACCCCGAAAATCCCCTCTGTGCTGGAGGAATCTCCCAGCCAGCACATCTTCACAGCTCCTCCTGGCCACTTTGCAATGACACCCAGCGTCTGACACGTTCATCAGGAGCCATGGGTGAAGCAAACGTGGCAGTGCTGTTTCTGTTCTGCACAGTGACACCCCATTTAACACCCTACAGCCTTAAGACAGAGGGCCTGTGACACATCCAGGCCTGTTTCTCCCACTAAACCTCTGCTGTCTCCCAGCCACACATTTGCTTTGGACTTCAGTTTCAGCTTGACTTCAGCACATCAAACAGCAACGTTAGCACAGCATTTACAGGGCTTCCTTTCCCCACTTGTGTTGAACAGTTCAAGCATTGTTATCTTATTTTTTGTTATAGTGTTTGCCTTGGTAATGCTGAACAAACCTGAAGCTTCCACTACAGCAAACACAAAAATTGACTGTTTATAGAAGAAATAAAGAACTAACACACTTTGAGGGTCTCTCTCCATTTATAGAAAACAGGCAACCTCTTCACGACAGCACAGCTTCTCTGATTGGTGAAAGTTTAGAAATCAAAAGAAGTGGCAGAAAACATGCAATTATATCCCCCTGAAGAAAATGAGTGCTGTACTCAGATTGGTAAACTTCATCTTCCACAAACCATTAATTAGCAGAAGATTCATCAACACTAAAGATCTGTGCTCAGTGCCAACCTGCTTACATTGAAGCTGGACCTTGCTCTCTCCTTTGGAACGCTCCTGATCTTTGGACTTGGTAACTGAAAGCTGCTGTTTCTGGCACTGATTCGGGCGCGTGTGCATGTTAAGGAACCACTGCAACTGGAGCTGCCCCCTCACGAGCCACTTACACGTATAAAGCTGAGTTAAAGAAGGTGCCTCTCTTGCTATCCAGCCCCTTATAAGAAGTAGATCACCAGAAGACTACTTACACTTTCAAAGTACTGCATTCTCCTTGTTTGACAGATTACACTTTAAGATGTTACATAAAAGCAAAAATAGTCACAAGTATTTTGGATCACCTGTCTAGTGTTAGCACTGCCAGAGATGAACTGTGCCAGGAGTGCTTTACATCACTGTGAAAAAAGTCAAGAGTTCCTAAAAAAAAATGTTTTCCCTATGAAATATTTATTGAAAAAATAAAAGCAGCTAGCATAAATGATGGCAAAACCCTTCAAACTAGATATCGCATAAAATGTGCTGTACTTCATGGAGACTAAAACAAAAACAATTTTAGAATATGAAATTTGAGGTTTTCCTCGCTATTAGGACATTATCTCAAACTCCTTGATGCCTCTCAGGCAGACAACTCAAGCACCTGGAATACTTATTATTTCCACCAAAACACTGCAAAATTCATTATTTCATCTTTCCCATCAAAAAAAAAAGCAGGTGTACAAAGGAATACAACTACAACTCCTAATAAAACAGCACCTACAGATGTATTTAATGCTCTTTAAGACTGCTTCATCTGCAGACAAAACTTGAAGGACCTATGGCTATCAAGTTTCTTTTTGTTTGCTTTCAATCAGCTTCAGAGGAAAAGAAATCAGCTTGACACAAAAATCAAAGTGGTGTTTTAATATGCACAAAGTCTAGCTCCATTCGTTAGCAGTCCAATCCAGTTCCTGCAGAAAAGGAGTGGGTGGTTTTTGCTACCAACCTAAATGGAAGCAGGATCCGTCGGGAAAGGAGGAATATCTCCAGCTGTTACATTAGATGCTGCAATACTAGCCTGGACAATGGAAGTATTCCCAAGGACATGCTCTCAGATACCTGTCTGGCAGCACAAACTGCTAATCCTCCACCTATCTCTACCACCACCACTAGTTCATTATGTTAAATCAGATTCCAAAGATACCATCTTATTATGTAAAAATGTACACATTTTAACTTCAACCAGGAGGGCTACTTTCAATTTACCCTGCTAAATCAACTGGCTAATTTCTACAGCAAGATAAGTACAAGCAGCAACAATTTTTAAGAAAACACAGTTTTCATTTTTATGGTTTGTTTCACCACGTGAAAGCTTCCTGTGCACTTGGATGCAAACTGAGGTGCCTCTGTCAATTTTGTACCCTGTGAGAAGTCCGTAAGACACGGGCACCTTCATTTGTCCAGATGAACCCCTAAAATTATCATAATAAAAAGGCAGAAAGTCTCATTTCTACTCACACACATAAGCAAATGTTTACTCATTTGAAAGACACAGGCATAAAACTGGTGTTTGGGGTAGCCAAGCCCCCTCCCACCGTTGTTTGAGCAATAGTACGTTCTACGGCGGCCAAATCCAGCACCCACTGACGGCAGCGAGAGTCACCCCGATGACTGCACCAGGCACGAGATGAAAAAGTCTGGACTTTCCTGCTCCCGAGAGCTTTGAATGTGTCTGAACACACGCCGCCACACGCAACAGCTCTGGCGTGCTGCACTGAAGTTCGGGTAAAGAAGCTGACAGCCCCCCCTCCACACCGGATGAAGATAAAACGGGCAGATTTGCTTTATTTTACACCGGCAGCAGACCCATAACCGTAAATCAGCCACCCAGGGGCCCACTGGACAGCACACAGTCCCCCTCCTAGATTTTTAACAAAAGTGGCCCTGGGTTTTCCAGCTGTGCTTCACAAAATGCAAGAAATGACAGCAGGTAACTGTACTCCTATTTTCATGGTTAAGGAGAACTTATCTTTCCAGATCCCGACACGAGTAAAGCAGCAAACGCTCTAAATCAAAGCGGCATCGCAAAAGACTTTTTTTTCAAGCGCTCACCCACCCTGAAGAAAATCCCAATAAATATATTTTTCGCCACCGCTTCCGAAAGATGAACCACCCTGCCCATAAAAGCCCCCCCAGACGCCCGTTTCTCGTGCTGGCGGTGCTCCCAAGGAAGACCCATGAGCGCTATCGCTCAGGGAAAAGACAGGCTAATCCCCTGCCCTACCACCAACCCCTGAAAGGGCCAGGCAGCGGGGCCAGCCGGGTCCTGCCCAGCCATATGTCAGCTTTGCCACAGCGGAGTGAAAGTCCCCCCCAGGCCCCTTTAGCCCTCCCGGCACCACGGCACACACTTCTCGGGGTTCCCTGAAGCCCCCGCTCCTGCTGGGAAAGCGGGGCGAGGCTGCAGCCCCCCGGCTCCGGGGGGTCCCCGGCGCACGGGAGAACTTACCGCGGTGGCGCCGCTTCCCTGGCGTCGGATGGAGCCCGGCTCTGGAGAGCACAACCGGCCGCACTATCGCGGCCGGCACGGCCACCCCGACAAAAAAGTGTATTCCAGTTCCCCGCACCTGCTTCGGCCCGGGATCCCCGCGCATCGGCGGGGAAGGGGGCGTATTTTAAGGGTAACTCCGCCGCTCTCCCCTCCTCTGTTCATCTCAGCACGGTTCGCCCCCCCTCCCCCGCGGAGGAGAGGGGGAGGATCCCCGCCCCGAGCTCCTCTGCCCGGGCACCAATTTAAAGGTAGAGATAAAACAAGCCCCGATGACTCGGAAAGCCAGAGGGGGGTGTGATGGGGTGTCGCCGTCCCCTGCCTCCCCACCCCCCGCATCCCCCCAGCCCCACTCACCACATGCAGCTCCACCTGAGAACTAAAGCATGGAGAGGGGGAGGTCGGAAACTCTCGCCCTAGAGCAGCTCCATATGTCGCTCCTCGCCGCGCCGCTCCGGGGAGGGGCCGGGTGGGATGCGGAGGAGGAGGAAAAGAGGAGGAGGAGGAGGAAGAGGAGGAGGAGAAGGCAGGAGCAGGCGGCGTGAGGATTTAAGCCTCCGCTCTGCCCCGGCGGCTGCGATCACGCAGCATTATACAATGGAGGAGGAGGAGAAGAAGGAGGGGAAGGAGGAGGAGGAGGAGGCACCAGCCCCGGCTCCCAGCACTTGCCGCCAGCACTGACGACAGGGGCGGCTCCAGCGAGCTCCTCACCCTCCGGACCGCGTCAAAGCTCCGCCTCGGCCCCGGCCTTCCTCCCCCGTCCTCCCTCCCCCCCTCCCCGTTCCTCCTCCTCCCCCGCTCCCTCTCCCGCGGCTCCCCGCGCTGCCCACGCGTGCCCCGGCCCCGGGCGGGCGGCACGGCCCCCGCAGCCGCCGGGGCTTCCCCGGGGAGCGCCGGGCCGGCACAAAGGATGGTGCCAGCGCGCCCCGACCGCAAATATGACAAGTATCCCCGCTATCCGGTGGCGGGGACCCGGCCAGGGGACGGGGCTCGGCCAGCGGGGCTGACCCCCAGGTCGTCCCGGTACAACCCAAAATTCCCCCCACCATCACCATCACCACCCCCGGTCAGCCCCCGGCTGGGCCAAGCAGAGCTGGGGCTTTGGGGGAGTGGGGATAAAACCCGGAGCGCTCGCGGCCGCCCCTCGCCCCGGCAGCTCACCTGGGAGCCCAGGGAGGCAGCGGCCCCCGTCCGTGGAATCCTCGCTGCTAATTTGGGCTGTGCAGATACCACCGAAGCACAAAAATGAGGCCAAACGGAGATGTTCGAGCGCGTGAAGACTTGGGGGCAGGGGGGGAGCGCTCGGCACCAGGCGCTACCTGGAAAGAAGACGATTATTTTAAGTCACCTCAATGACTGTGTTTTCGAAAGGGGTTGTAATCCCAGCCGGCTCTGTTAAAGGGGATTCAAACACCTTAGAGTTTTGGCTGCAGCCCCAGCGGCATCTCGCATCATTCCGGCCTTTCATGTTCCACTGAACCGGTTGTACTTCGGGACAATAAAGCTTTAAGACCTAATATAAAGTCGATTATTAGTCATTAATATCATGACTCGTTTAGGCATTATGCTGAAAACCATCTGTAATGATTTGTGATCAATCAAGATGATGGTCTTGTTAGAAATTAAGTTCAGTTTTCAGTTAGAAAACCGAAAAGGAAAAGAAGGATACTTTTAGAAGGAAGGCTTCCTTAACCTGAAAATTGTATCTGACAAAAATCCACAAAGGAAAAATAACTCCAAACAATTCAAACAGTGAATCTGCCAAAATAAAAGGAGATTAAATGATGATTTTATGGATTCTTAAAATTGTAATTGGAAAGATCCTCATCTAACTGATATTTAAACACCAGGCACTTCAAATAATACTCTGCTGAAGTCACTTAATTGGGAGGAAAGGGCATCAGTAAAAACTGACGTTTTACTCTCCCAGTTTGGAGGCCTCATCACACCCTTCCCCTTCCACCGGTGCTATCAGCCATTCCTTTGAGGAGATCCCTCATCGGGTGTCTGCAGCACAGGGGTAGCCCTGAACCGACCTGCAAAGCAGTTCACGAACTGTTTACTAAATTTTGACAAGTGATTTGCGAATCGCCCAGGAGCCGGCAAACATTAAAACCAGAATTCCCCCTGGCTGGATACCTTCCAGCAGTAAGGCACTGAAATTTGGTCCTTCTGCTTGGGGGAAACAAGCCTCTTCCCAAAATTGCAACGAGTCATAATAAAATCGCTAAATAAAAGGAGAAGGTTCATCTTCTTCAGGGGCCTGAGCGGTACCTCTGTTCAGCGGGCCTCTGCCTACTCAAAACCCACCCAGAATATCTGTAAAACTTGCAAGTCAGATTCACTGTATTTCAGAGCCACATTCTGCCCTCCTTTACGCCGGATTTGTAACACAGCAGGATCTGGCCTTGCGTAATCGCGCTGTGGATGCACCCAGCCGAGCAGTGCCTGCCTTCCGGAGCTCAAAGTCCGCAGCAGGTTTACAGTCCCCGTGCCTGGGTGTGTGCGCGCTATCACCGGCACCAGAGGCAGGACCACAAACATTTGCTAAATAAGCAGCCCGATATGCACAGCCCTGATCTCGACGTGTTATACTCGGCAGTAAAAAGCCTGAGCCTGTGTCATCCAAGTTTTAAACGCCTCTGGCTTCGTTAGGTCGCTCCAATTTTACACCAGCACAAGACAAAACTCGCCGCCCCTTCTGTTTCCTACTGTAACTCTCCCAGGCCTTTCTTGGCAGGAGTTTATAGTCACGCTGTAACTCAGATTGTTCCTCTGGACACAACTAGTACAACCTGCATCCACGCTCAGATGCATTCTCAGCTGAGCATAGGTCACGATACGGGTCGATAGGAATAGAGCTCCTTCCTACGCTCCGCACACAGCAGAGGCTCCGTCCTGGCGGGACGAGGTTGGGCTACACAAGGTGAATATTCCTCCTGCCCACTGCTCCTCACATGGCCTCGCAGCTGATTTAACGAGACCTTTCCGGCCAAGAAACTCCACTCTGCAGCTTTGGAGCAACCTGGCCAGGAGGTGCCTGCAAGACCCAAACGCAGTTTGTCTGAACATGTTAGTAAGCACAGAGAAGCAGCCTGCAACTGAGCTGCAGAACACTGTGCTAGGAAGTGTGGAGAGGTTTCCAGAGCCTGCAGGAGTGGGGGGGGAAGTCTGCATGTCTGCAAGGAGGAGCCACCCAAAACACATCCCCGTTTCTGAAGGATGCACACAAGGGCTTCCTGGGGAGCAGCAGCACAGATGTAATTGTGCAGTCATAGGCTTGACACAGGCCCTGCTCACAGATGAAGACAACATGCTAAAAGAGAAGGAACCAAGCTGTGTTCTTCTGCAGCAGTACTGACCTGACTTGGGCTACAGGCATAGTCTAAGTGCAGCGTTGTCTTTGAGCAAGGATGGTCAAAGCCTGTCTGATTGAAGAGGTCAAGTCTCATGAAGATCATTCAAAACCCCTCCTGCCTTGAAGATAAATAAATAAATGAACAGAAATCAAAGATTGGAAAGATTGGGAGGGGGCAAGAGACATGGGCTTCATAGGCAATTCATTAGAAATACTACAGACTGCCAGGTAATCTCTGCCCATCAACACGCGTGCTAATTAGGAAAGAGCAGCAAAGTTTGGTGTGCTGGAATGTTGGCATCCCTCACGTTTTTCAAAAAAAGAGGGAGTGAACTGCTTCCTATGTTTCTAATTTCATCCTTGGCCTTTTTCTTTCTAATTGCAGCACACACGAGTACTATGAGATTTCATCAGGCAATTGTACAACAGAACTTTATTTTCTCCTTGGATGTTTTTGCCTTAGTGCACGCAGGAGCTGGCAGGTAAATACCTAATGCTGCCCCCAGAGCAGGCAACTTTTTGCAAATAAAGACCCCCTCAGCACCGGTAACTTGGGAAAAGCTAAACAAAGGGCCTGCCTACAGCCAAAGCTGCTCGTTCGCAGTGCTCGAGCAGTGCTCTCCCCACCAAGCAACGCGGGTCTCCTGGGTAAGAAGGGATCACACTGCATGATTAAATACCACTAGGACCTCGTGCCATCTCCGTTCAGGCCAGCTCAGGGGTCAGTACTGACCCTCCAGAGCAGGGCCCTTCTCATGCAAGGCCCAGCCACAGATAAAAACAAGCTCCTCAGTAAAAAACCAGGGTGCGGCACTGCTGCAGTCTGCACCTGTACACGAGCAGGGAGTGACCCACACTTATGAGCTGGGCTGCTTTCCTTGGGATTTCAATGGCTTTTTTTCCTTTTTTTTTTTGCTGGCGCAACTCTTCCACTGTAACAAGGCTGCCCCACACGTCCCAAGGCACAGAGGAGCTGGTTAAAACAGAAGGAAGGAATGCTCCACCCCTTCTCACTCCAATTTTAGCTCTCTTCCCCCCCCCTTCATTTTCTGCTTTAGTTCATGTTTTTCTCCTTTAATGTTTTTGTGGCAGTAGGAGAAACACCGTTCCCTAGAATGCATAATATGCTTAATTATCATTCTCTGTTAGTTCTCTAGGAAAAAAAACCCTACAGGAGAAATCAGTTTAATTAATGAGTATGACCAAATGCAGCCTTAGTTCTAATGCAGTATCATATATTATATGTCCAGTTGGGCAGTTGATCTTCTTTGGCTAAAATGAACAGAGATGCAAAAAAACAGGGAGCTCATGAACCAATATTCTGAGTGAAACTACCCCCTTTTTATAGTTATTCTAAGCTTCCTACAGATTTCAATGACAACGTTAGTTCCCAAATACTGCTTTTGGCTTTGTTAACACAGGATTGGGCCTGTACAGTCTAGTAATAGAAAGCTATTGCTTGGCAGTACCAAGGGTTGTGCCACATGGTAAATTCATTAAGTAATTAAGAAAAAACCAAACAACCCTTAACTCCAAGATAGCTCTCAAATAGCCATGCCTAATAAAAATCCCCAGTGCCTGTGAAGGACAAGAGTAGTAAGGTTTCTTCTGAAAGTAAGATTTGGTGATTTAGATGCTTTTCAAAAGGGCTACTCTTCACATACTAAATTATTAAGGAAATATTATGGAACAGGATTATCAGGAAAGGAAAAAAAATGCAGTGTGCATTAGCTGGCTTAGTCAGAGGAGGTTTTGCTGCATTCCTCATGCACGGAGATGACTCCCTCCCTCTGTAATTCCCTGTGCACTCCCAGTTCTCTGGAGACTGTTGGTGTGCATCATCATTGCTCCAGCTGAAAGACTGTCCTCTGACAGGGGTTTGGGCTCCCTACCATTGCTGTATGTCTTCTCACATCTTTTTGCCTTTTTATAAAGATCCATGTTCTTTCCCAAATCCCATTCAGGCTGCATCACCTGCATGATGTACTTCATTTCTGGCCCAGGCCAGACTGTTCACACTGGTGCTGTTTGTACGGCACACAGGCTCCTAAAACAGTCTCCCCTTTCCATTCTTGCTTCTTGTGACACAGTGAATTGCACTCTGCACTGAGCCATGTTTTAAACCATTTTAGGCTGCTTTTCTTTCCCTTTCAGTGCTCACTCTGCAGTCTCTATCAAAAGCACAAGTCATTCTTTTCTGGAACACTTGGTTACTTTTTTGGAGAGAGGCTATGCTGCTGTCCTGATATTCATCTCATACTGGGGCCAGTGGATTAAGAGGGAAAAAAATCTGCAGATAAAACCAAAGCCTCTGTTTTACAGCTGAGGAGGGAATACTTCTAATCGAGAAAAAACACAGAAACGGTGGGGGAAAATACAGAGATGGCCAGTCTTCAGGCCTAATTAACCACTGGTGTAAACAGATGTCTCTGCAATCAAGCCAGAAGACTTCGGGCCACCCACCAGTCTTGAGCACAAACCCAACATGAGCCTGAAAACCTTGACAACATGGGGCTGTCAAACATGCAAGCCACACATGCTTTAATACAGGGGTTACCACCATGTCCCTTGTGCTGACAGGCCACCTGCTCCTCGGTCACCAGGAGAGAGCAGCTCCACTGGTCTGGATTACCGTGTGCGCTGCACGTGCTACAAACCTTTTCCGAAGCAAAGCTGCTCCTACAAAGCTCTACGTGGAGACATAAATTTCTGGAGCACACATGCCCCCTGCACTCTTCTTAAGCACTCTTGAAACCTGAAAGGGGCCTGGTTGCATGGGCAAGTTGGAATAGGTTTGGCACTGCTCAACCCTGCCAAAGGCTTGACAGACCAAATGAGGCCACCAGTGCGGTGACTGGAGGCTTCTAGAAGTGGATGTTCCTGCTCAGATTCGTTGCATTAAAGCATTGTACCACAGTAGCAATGAGTTGGGGGCTGGGAGGGCACAACCAAAATGGTGTCGTGGCTACCATGTTGATGTGGAGTGTACATGTACAGTGGCTCAGGCCGTTACAGAGCACTGCAATATGTCATGCAGGACTTAAAACCATGTCAACTGGAGTTTAATGTGTTTGTGCTCAGATGCATTACCAGAAAAAAAAAAAAAAAAAAGAAGCCAACAACCACCTATTTCAATCCTTATTTACATGAAAACATGAGTTAATACATCAACATCCAAATGAATGCACCCACCTCTAGAGCTGCTTCTGCTGGCTGGAATACAGCCTGTAGAGCATATTAATGCTCCTACACAGTTTGGGGGGCTTGGGCCTCTTGTTTGAAACTAGTTTCTGCAGCTTCTTAGATCCTCTAGATTCAAGGAATGCTTAACAAATAAGATAGAGGTATTTTCAAAGTAATTCAAATTTGCAGTGATAAATCCTTCCTCTGACTGTCCCAGGTGCAAAATTCTTTACAGACAATGTTTATCTGTGCTCCTTTCAGACAGAGGTTTCTGAGGGTCTAATTTTAAGTAAACAGTGAGTGACCTACACCACTTCTTTAAAGAAAAAAACAAAAAGCCAAAACCAACAAACCCCAATAAAACAGAAGTTGAATCTGCAGGGCCAAATTTAGAAGAGGAAGAAAAAAAAAAAAAAGGAGCTGGCAAAAAACCTAGCACAAGAACATCAAATGTAGCAGCATAAACTCCCACTGCCATTCTGTTCCTCTACAAATAATGGAAGATCATATAGAACTGAACTCATTGAGTCAGTGCAGTGAATGCACAAGTCGTTTTAACCCTTCACAAAATGTGTTATTTCGTAGATTGTGTGCAAAGAGGAGATTAAAAAAAAAAGACTGAATGGGTACATCAGATGCTTTTAGTGACTATGCCTGTGGTAATGATTCATTTTGTCTCTCTACATTCCCTAGTGCTTGCACATCTAAGAGTCAGCAGAAGCTCATACTGTATGTGCAGGTAAACAGACTGTGGGTCATGTCTGTATTTCTTAACTCTGTACCTAAAACCACCCCTGTAACGGTCAGAAACACATTTTATATTTCTGAAGAAAAAAGGAACTGCACAAATTAATTTAGGTTCTCCTGTAACCTTTTTTTATGTTCTTTCACTTTAAAGGAAGCTGTTCATTTTTAGTGACCATTAGCCAAAGGCTAAAAAGGGTTTACACCTAATTAGTATTCTGAAGCAAAGATGAAACACTAAATCACTGCAAACCCACCCAGCATTTAGGTTCTACCAACAGGGCAAAGAAAAAAAGCTGAAAATTCACCATTTATCATCACAGCCCATCTTGCCCTTCCTTTCGCACCTCTTAACACTCTATTTCTTCCTCCCACGGTGTCTCTGGGGTGCTAATGTCCTTGAAATGTGGCAGGGGGTCTGGAAGAGGGGAGAGGCAGCTCTCCTGCCTGGTCACACCCATCTGACAAAGCATGTGTGGGCATTTGCCGGGGTGGAAAGGAAAAAAAAATAGGGGAAAAAAAAGAGAGATGTCGTAGGCAAGGATGGCATGGAGCTAGGGAAGAAGATGCTTCATGTGGCATTCTGCTCCCTCTGTGACAGCCGTAAGCAGCTAAGCAGCTCTCTCAAAAAAAGCAATAATTCTCCCTTTTTTTTTTCGTTTCTTTTAAATTTTAGGCTTGGTGAGGGAACAAAACAGACCTGATGGGATTACAGAGGGGAATGAGTAAAGGAAAAGGAGTAGATCCAAGAAACAAGGAGGAAGAGCTTTATCCCCACTGATGGTGCTGCTACTGAGTCCAGGACATTCTCCGGACAGCAGCAGGAGAAGAAAATAACATGAGGTGTATCACTGAGCCTTCCCCTGCTGCTTCTCCCAACCACAAAAAAAAGGGATGGCCAGAAGGCTCCTAAACGCCTCTCTTCCACACAAATCCAACTTCCTACAGAGGTTCAGCTTTACAAGCCAGTTTCTACCACATTCATTTGTGGAAGGAAAGATGCCAATGACTGTCCTGAGCCATAACTCCTGCCTGTGGAGTGAAGGACCTGCCCACCAAGCCAGGTACTGCAGAGAAAGGCACCAGCCTATTTGTAATAACTGGGCAGAAACAGGCACCCTCTGCAAGAGGCTCACAGCGAGGGGCCAGCCAAGCCAAGGAGGGCTGATTGTCCATCTGCTATCCCTCATGCCCCAGTGCATTTTCTAATCATCCACACCCAAGGGACATTCCTAGTGTGATTCCTGCTAAGCAAAAAAGTCCTAATAAACCCCACTTGCTTTGCTTGCTTACCTACTACAACAATAGTGTTATCTTTCAGGTTAAATCTTTTTTTTCTTTTTTCTTTTCCCCTGAATCTGCTCTTCTGCCAATTCTCCTTTACTCTTACTGGATGTTCAGTCCCTGCCATAAGAACAAAAGGAGTTAAGCAGGTGTCAAAGTGCTGATAATTTGACTCCACACACATATCCAAGTACTATTCCCAAGCAGGTTAGCACATAGAAACCTCTGTTTGCTGGCAGCACTCTTCAAAGGAAACGCTTTCTCGTCTGAGCAGCTGGGAAAGTGCAAGTGCTCACTCCTTACTCGAGTTGTGGGGTTCACAGAAAGAACATCGGTGCATTGCTCCTACCAGCAAAAAGGGAGACCTGGCATTTCATGGGTTTCTTTTGGTTTTAAAACCAGAACAACCTAACCCAAACCACTTCTGTTGGAGAAACACTGCCTTCCATGAGATGTTTAGGTGAAAGACCTCAGGCTCCCAACAGCTTTTTTCCTCCGCGCTGCCACGGCCGATGTGGGCAAAATAACGAGAAGGAAATGCATTTGTTGTTTTGAACTCTCCTTCCTTTCATTTAGCAAAGATTCCCCCTAAATAAATGGAAGTGGGGAGATCTTGGAATAAGCCCTAGCAAAATTTTAATCACACTTTTTCTTCTTGCAAGCGAGCCGTCATTCAGTAGCTAGGTGGTTCTAAATAAAGAACTCTAGTCAACAACAGGAAATAACTCCCACAGAAAAAAAGGGCAGAATACAAACTCGCAGCAACTCTCGTACATAGCTCACAACGGCCTTTTGTTCCATGCACATTAAGTCCAAAATCTTTACTTTTCAGAACATGTTCTTACTCTAAGTAATTAAAACTTATTTTTAACTTGTCGCGAGTATGGATCCCTTCCTTGCCTTTCTCCCCAGAAAAAGTTACATTAAGAGTAGGAAAATCACAAGCCATTCCTATTTTTCCTATTTCATTTAATAAGTAAGGACAATCTAGGAATGCCACATGATGACCAGGATGGTGGGGGGGGTTATATTCCCCCCCTCCTTTTTTTTTTTTGCAGGGGTAGGTGCACTGTTGTGTTCTCAGCTGCAAACAGTTTACATCCTTCACAACGTTCAGAAACCACTTTATGTTCAGAAAATACAAAGCACCTGGTCTGTGGGAGGGGGATGAAGGAGAAACCACACATCTCCAGCCACTTTTTAAAAACTCAGGTTAGTGTCTAGAATCATCAGCTTTTAAGTTACATCATGGGCCAATGACTGAGCACAGACACCAAGCACAACACCCAAAAATGCTCAATCAAATTCCCTGAAAGAATACAATGGTTAATTCCATCTGGCTTTGAAAAAGTGTGGTTTTGGTGTGCCAAGGAGGGAATTTTAAGATGGCTGTTGCCAGTTAGCTGCCATGGGTAGGTCCCTGCAGGAGGTGGGAGAGCTTCTTGAGGAACGTTGCTATCATTTGTGGCATTTTCTGGAACACAAGCAGGGATATAGCAGATTTTAGTGGCCAGCTGATTCCTGCATCTCTCCGTCAAATCACCTGATGTGGCTCTGCCACATTGCAACCTACCTGTAAAACCAATTTCCATTTTAGAAATTAGTCTTGTTTGAATTATACAGCTGCAAGAACCAGGGTTGCAGTTCCAGAATGGATTTTTGTAGCTGGAATATGTGAACTGGCTCAGTGTGCACATGTGTGTAGCTGTGTGTTCGTGTGCACGTGCACCATCAAAAGTTTACAGGAAGAGCAAATCAAATTTGCTTCCTAATGCACAGTAAACACACAGGCTGAAGCAACTCCACACTCAAATTGAGCCCAGAATAGTTGGTGGTTGTATTACAAAGTCCTTGGCAGTGGGTGCAAACCTGAACTCACAGTTACAGCCTTTTCTGGTTTAGAAAAGAGATGCCACTGCTGAGAGGTCTGGACTCCTTTTGAACTTTCAGAAAGGAATAAAAATTGACGAGGTAAAGTATCCTAGAGCAGCTGTCCCACTGTTTCCCAGCTCTCACCCATTAGGTTAAATACTACAACGATTTCAGTGGGACCAGCACACTTTAAAAGATGTAGTCTCTCTGTCTTTTTCTCTCTCTCGCTGAATGATATTTCTGCCCACATGCACTGACACATACAGTGTCTAACAAGGCTGTGATTCATTTTCAGTTCTAGTCATGCTCACAAGTGATGTAGCACACTTGCTGTGCCTTCGGGATCTGCGTAATTTAGCTTCATTTTCTCTGCCCCCACCCTGCATTAAGTGAAGTTCCAACAAAGCCAAGTCATCACCCACCAACTCCCCCTCCCACCTGCTTGGGGGATGTGTACAGCAGGAATCTGAATAATAATAATAAGATTAAATTAATTTTTTTAGAAAGAGAGAGGAGGGGATGAGAGCTTGAGAAATATCGTGAATTGTTAGAAAGCTTTCTAACAGTGAATAATGTGAGTGAATAATGATAATGGGATGTATACTACCAGATCACTGAAGCAGCTGTATCAGTCCTGAATCATCTCCCCATACGTGTTAAAAGCAGCACTATGTATTGCATCATGCACGTTCATGCTAAAAAACGACTGACATTAAATCTGAATCCCTGATTTATAAAGGCAAACACCTCCTCAGCCTCTCCCACGGTAACCTTGTAGTGACCATTCACTTGTCCCCTGTCCTTTGCAGTCACTTGGACCAAGCACAAATGTCACCACATCCCAACTGCGAACTTCCCTTCACCCAGTGGCCACCATCCATCATGAATTACACACGGTGGTTTTGTGATACAAATTACAAGCTGCTTCTGAGCTAAACTCCATGTATTTGAGGCATAAGGCCAAGCTAGAACAAAGTGAAAGACAGGCTTTTTATTTGATAAATCTCATTATCTCGCTGGCATTCAAAATCCATCTCAGACACAGAAATGCATCGCAAAGTAGTTCTCTAGTTACTTGGAAGAGTCAAGATGCTTTAACGTTGAAGTTAAAATGTGTTTACACTCCCATCACACTAACATTTCTAGCCTTCCTCCACCTTCAACCTGGAACTATGTTTTGATGGAACAGAAAACTTGATTTTCGAAAGAAAAACAAGTCAACCGCATTTCTTCAGCAAAGATCCACAGACAAAAGTGAGTCACTGCAGACTCCCTCAAGCAGATCTTAGTGATCTGCATGATTTCCTTAATCCCTAACCAGTGACACAGGGAAAAAAGAATTAGCACCAAAAGCTAGAAGGTACTTCGACATTACAGGTGTGATACTGAGAGGGTTGCTGTCACGACAGAGTTACAGTGAATTAAGACACCACATATGACCTTTCTTTCTTTACATGAAATGTGTGTGGTGGGAGCCTTGCGTGAGACACACACCCTCCAGGCTAAGCAGCCTCTCCTCTTGCTGACCCTCATTCATGACCAACATGAGCAAGCCAGAGCAGAGATTAAATTCCCTATTTGCTGTAGAGGTCCATCTACTTCTCCTCCTCACTCACTAAGTGCTCACTCAGTTTGGCCATGCAGCTCATCAGCCAGCATGTCCCCAGTTCAGGCACATTTAAATGTCCTGTAAAGAAAGAACCCAAGGGGACACCAGAATTTTGGGCCACCCCAGGCTTGTCCAAGCCTAAAGGTTGGGGAAGGTGGAGTTCCTCTCTCTGCCTTCCCGTTAACATCCTCTTTCCTGCCAGGACAAGCCTGGGCTGATCAGGAGCTCATGGTCATTTGCTTCTGATCCATTCTCCTCCTCCTCAGCTCTCAACTATATCAAAGGAATGGAGGAGTGACCACAGCCAGGGAAGGGCTGATGTACATTTCTGATGTATAACACACAGGACTGGGAAGGAACCAGGTCATCCCATGAGGCTGATATCACAAAGGGCTCTAAGGAGCTCTGAAACACTGCAGGAGGACAGTTCCTGAGGCTGGATACTCGTTGGGAGTAACGGGTCAGGCAAAGAAAGCAGCGGACTGTCATTTCAGCAGACGGGCTACTGCCTCATTTTGCAAATTGAAGAAATGAAGTGCAGGGAAACTACGGGATGGCTTATTGTGGAAATGAAAGTCAAGGCCATGTGTTTTGATTTCCAGAGTGCTCAACACAAGTCCAGCCTTCCTCATCCACGAAGTCATGCTGTAAACATCCTCAGGGCAGGGCCTGCACCTCTCATTTGCTTTATGTCTGTGGCTTCCAATCTTTCACGGTTTGCAGATCCCTTCACGCTTTCCAATAGGGCTGTGCATTTAAACCCGCTGACAACAGGCTTGCTTTCCCTGGCTTCCCTGCACATCTTGCACGTAGCTTGTGAATCCTCACGAATTTGTTCTCTGTGGCCCTCTGCAGATTCCCATGTGTCCCTCTCTTCCTACTGATCCCTACACATCCCAAGAGCCAGCAGCAGGCGTTTTCAACGTAGCCCTAACTCAGTCTAGTTGCCCTAATTCCAGACAAAAGCACAGAGCTTCCCTGTCATTTCAGCATTTCCCATCTCAAGGTATGGGAGCTGTTGATCTCCCACATGAAAATGCATTATGCTGTCAGCCCAGCCTAAGGGCTGTTATTTAATTTACTTGAGGAGGTAAGTGAAAGCCCCTTCATGCAAATGCTTACAATGTGATCTGGAAAACAGCAGGCGTAATTAGATAAAATGGCAGCAAAGCCCACCAGGGAAATAATGTTAATTCATGAGGATTTTCCTCTCCACCTCCCTCTCAGCAAGGTTTGAAGCCAAGGAGGGAAGGAAAAAAAAATCAGAATCCACCTCAATGATCTGTCTCTTGGTGAAGTAGAAAAACAGGACAGCAACCAGTGGGGTCATCTAAAATGCCTCAGCATGGCACGTCTAGCAGGACTGGCAGTCCATGTTCCTAAGTGATGCATCACTGAAAACAAAAATTGCTCTGTCACTGTCATAAATTAATCCAAGTAGAGAGATAACGAGCCATCATCCCGAAACTTCACATCATCTTCTGACCAAGGCCTAGCCAGGCAAAAGAGAAGATCTGTCACATGATAACACCCCTGCAGCCCCCTAGCCCCA